GACTACTCTTTGTTCTAAAGTGTCAGTTTGTTCCAGAATATAAGAGCATAACAAAGGACAAAGTTTTATGAGATTGCATTTGCCTTGGTTTCTAATAACTGCATCTGAAGTGAAGCTGGGAAACATTAAAATTTTAGTGAGTTTGCTAAGTTTTGATGTGCTTATTTCTTTGGCACTGATTAACGCCGGTCCTACAATAAGAAAGGTTATTCTTTTTGTGTAAATGCTTTTTTGTGCTTTCTGTTTATTTTCTCTTTATTTAAATAGATAAAAAAGCAAAGAACAAAGGCTCCTCATTTATGAATGAGTCAAGGTTATTTATAATCACGTCACCTTCTATGTTCATTTTCAAATATTTTATTGTTGCTTTGAAAAATTAGATAACCAAGAACTGTTTCTTAGGTCTTTATCAAGTGCCCCATTCTTTTTTGATAATTCTTTCAACTTTCCCTTTTAAAGATCAGATCAAAACTTAGGAAAAAATGTTCTTTTCTTACCAAAAATTATCTTTAAAATTTCCTAGAGGGCCTCTAGAAAACCCCATATTTGTTTTCATCTTATAAAAGGAAATGCTGGGAATAATTAGATTCATTTGAAGTTTCATAAGAGGAGCTGCCATATCTGAGAAGGGATAGTCTGTCCTAGGTTAGATTCTTATAGGCAAATTGTTATTAATATAAATATTTCAGAAATTGTTTGCTTTACAGGAAGTTCCTGGAAATCTGACAATGCCCTTGCTATTTTACCCTAAGAGGAAATACTGATTAAAACTTCTAGGTTGGCATGGTGGCTCACACCTATAATCCCAGCACTTTGGAAGGACAATTGCTTGAGCCCCATAATTCAAGGCTGCAGTGAACTATGACGGGACTACTGTACTCCACCCTGGGTGATAGAGTGAGACTTTGTCTCAAAAAACAAAACAAAACCAAAAACAAAAAAACCTCCTGTGAAATAGTTACATATGTACCTCAAAAGAAAATTTTATTTATCTTGTATTCTGATCTTATTGGTTATAGAAGTAAATTAAACACAGCTCTAAAATATTTGTCATTCACAGGGAATTTCCTTTTTTTTTTTTTTTTTTTTTTTTTTTTTTTTTTTTATTCTGATGCTTGCCTGAAAGCTCTGCTACAAGCTATAGTCAATAGTTTATGCCTGCCACAGAGACAGATTCAGAGCATTAGGGAAAAGGAGTATAATGCACACGTTAATATTGATATTGACATATCAAACAATAACCTCTTGAGTACAGGCTTCTGAGGTGATACAGTTTAGCTAACTTTTATATAGTACTGGGGGACTGAATTAGGAATTCCAGGACTCTTTAGTATGGAGGCAGATGGCTTCAGGAAAGCAGACTGCTATCTCAACATTTAGCAGAACAAGAATGATGAAGGACTAGTGAAATATTAAAGAAAAGTTTTTTTGTGTGTTTATTTGGAATATTGTTGATTAGTTTTTGTTTTGTTTTTTTGAGACAGCCTTGTTCTGTCGCCCATGTTGGAGTGCAGTGGCATGATCTTGGCTCGCTGGAACCTCCACCTCCCAGGTTCAGGCAGCTCTTGTGCCTCAGCCTCCCAAGAAGCTGGGAGTACAGGCATGTGTCACCATGCCCAGCTAATTTTTGTATTTTTAGTAGAGATGGGGTTTTGCCATGATGGCCAGGCTGGTCTTGAACTCCTGGCCTCAAGCAATCTGCCCACCCTGGGCTCCCAAAATGCTGGGATTACAGGTGTGAGCCAATGTGCCCAGCCAGTTAGTTTTAAATATTATAAGGCTATGTGGCTCTAGACTTACAAAATAAATCAAGGGGACTTACATGGTTAATTAACACTCTTGTTGCTAAATAATCAGGGCAAATCTTGTGAATCTAGCCTTTTTTTGTGATCAGTTATCATCTTTGTGATTACTTTGATCATAGGGGTTGGTGGAGACTCTGTCAGCAAAAATTAAGAGACTTTGAAATGGGCAAAAAAGGTCATTGTCGTCCAGTTTAGTGCATCCTTCTGGGTTACTGCCACCTTTCATTTTCTTTGAGCTATTCAATAATTTTGTAGGTTGAGGAAAACTTATAGTAATGTATATGATTATTTAGTTTTCAGGGCAAAAGGCAGATACTGTTTAACTATTTAACAAGCTTTCAGTGTTTTGTAAAAATGAAATTCTTTGAAAAGGCTATGTAGGGTAGGGTGAGGTGAAGGAGGGGAGAGATCTTTAGGGAAATAACTGTGGAAGAATCATTTCTCCTTGGTTGGGAAGAAGGTACTGGTCTGTGAGTCTTAAAAGAAGCAGGGGCCCCCTCCCTGCTGTTTAGCAGGCAGTATGTTGGGGAAGCAGTCAGGCTTTAGAAGGGATGGCTGTGAAATACACCCAAGGAAGCTAGCTGCCCTGAGGTTTCCAGCCTCTATTTGATCCTAGTGCTCCTAGCATGGCCCAAAGGAGCAAAGACTTGAGATCTAATGGCACTACAAGAATACTCTAGATGTATCCAGTGCAGACCAGTGACCAGGTGTGTCTCCCTGATGCTTTGGTGCTGCTTAAGTACCTTCAGATTCCTTAGCATAACTCTTTGAGATAGTAAGCTCCAATTGTGGCTTAATAAAATTTCCTACCAGTCCTGTGGCATAGGTACTTAGAGTACGATTTAAATGGAATCAAATACATTTCTTGCATACCTGAGGTTCTGCACTTAATATTCATGCCTGCTACATAATGCTTCTGAATTTTTCCTTGATTTCCCTGTCTTTTAGTAGCTGGTTTTCAGGCTTCGCTCCTGGACTGAAGCAAGTATTCCTATCTTTTATTCTTTTATTTTTGCTATGGAGGTATCTTGAAATTCATTTTGAAATTAAAACTTGTTGGCTGGCAGGAGTTTGCTGCATGTATGTTTTATCTCTTTCTTCCTGGTTCCTCTATCATCTCATTCCCACTCAAGGAGGTAGAAAAGGACAGTTAGCACCTCCTAAGGAATACTGTGGGATGCCCAGTTCCTAAAATCTCTTTCCTAGTAAATTAAAGGTTTAGCGTAAGTATCTTATCACACAGAGAGTAAAATAAATGAACCAATATGTGTAACTATGTTGGCTTTGTTTACTGGTGAGCAAATCCTTGGCATAAATGACATCTTTGTTAGCACTAATGAAGGTTAGGCTGAGAGTGTTCTGTCTTTACCACAACTGAGCCACAACTGCCAAGTCTATATATGATATAAGCTTGTCATCTCTCTGGAAGTACTAGAAAAGATAAACGTTAGTTCTGCCAAATAGGTATTGTGCCACAATTAGGCTGTTTAGAAACTAAGAGAAATTATACATGAAACAACTTCTGGAAATAACAAATTTAACATTTAAATAGACCTGACTTCATGGTTTGCTCTTGTAATACTGAGAGTACCACAGGCAGTTTGATGGTAATGAAAACAGACATTGAAAATTGTTTCTTTCAGCTGTACTACAGTGCAGGTCTCAGCCCTTCGCCTTTGTGATCTCAGGAGAAGTCTGCAGCAATTTGCTCTACCTGGGGCTAAAGAGACTTTGAGGGAACACTAACCCAGCAACTGTCTGCCATAAGAACACCTACCCACACTTCAGTACTTTCACTCCTGGATGTAATGTGAGATTGTTTTCTTCTATAGTTTTTAGCATCTGCAGTGCTATTCTGAAAGACTCTAACACTAAAGTTTGTGAAGGGAAGGCAGGCATTCTTCTGTTCAGGTTGCTAAATTCTGACATTTGTTCTCAGAGTCAATACAGTTCACTATCCAAAGAGTCCGGTTATAAATTTAGGCACTTTTATAGTTACAAGAGGACAGAGATCAAGAACAATCATATATAAAAGATCTAGCTTAAAATAAATCAAACTATTAGAAAATATGAATTTTAGTAAAAATTGCTATTATGACAGTATTTTTGTAATTTTTCAGTTTAGTCATTAATGTGAGAGAAAATATGGAAAAGGATTATCAGCTTGCAAAACATTTTATGCTGAAATATCTTTGAGCCAAAAATCAAGGTTGGTTATCTAGTAAAGAGTATTTTACTTTCATAATATTATTCAATGGACCCAATAGTCATCGTCCACTAACACATTTCATTAAGAAATATAAACTTAGTGTTACTGAAATGTTCAAATTGTTTTTATAGGAATAAATATATACCATGTACAAATATACTTAGTCCTATAAACTAGTGTGTGTCTGTGTGTGTATTTTTTTTTTAGACAAGGTCTCGCTCTGTTGCCCAGGCTGGAGTGCAGAGGTGCAATCTTGGCTCACTGCAGCCTTGACCACCCAGGCTCAAGCGATCCTCCCACCTCAGCCCCCAAGTAGCTGGAACTACAGGCACGTGCTACCATGCCCAGCTAAATTTTGTATTTTTTGTAGTGATGGGGTTTCACCATGTTGCCTAGGTGGTCTTGAACTCCTGGGCTCAAGCAACCTGCCCGCCTCAGTCTCCCAAAGTACTAGAATTACAGGCATGAGATACTATGCCTGGCCATATTTTCATTTTTATTATTATTTTGTAAAGAGGAGCAAAAGGAATGCCTAATCCTCCATTTCTTCCTTGTGGGGAAGGAGAGCTAAGCATTCTTGGTAGATTTGGAATATATGGTGGGTGAACTGGTTGGTCTGGGGGTGGGGTGAATCATGTTTAAATCTGAGCAGAAGGAAGGATCTTAGAGCTTTACCCTGGTAGTAAATATCATGTATAAAGGATGTCCTAATATAGTACAATAGAGTGAGGAACAGATCAGGTCTCCAGGGGAATAGCAAAAACCATTCTGCAAGTTGTGGGATTCCCCAGGTTGCTCCTGAGGGTAAGCTCCCTGACCTACCCACATTGTATCCCTTTTAGAGAGACCTTTAATTTCTGAAGCCTCACAGATTTTCAGCTCTGTGGGTGCCTGGCTTTGAATAACAGATGCCTACCGGCCACAGTTAATCAACCATATGCAAGAACATTGTAGTAGATAAATTTTATGAGCCCTATCTTTCATACCTTTTCCCCCATGGATACACCCCCCGATGTGATGATGACATCAGCACGACTGATACCCTCATTCAAGGCATTGAGTAAGTCATCTGGGCTGGAAAAAAATAAAGACATAAATTAACACACAAGGAAAAGATTTTAGATATAGTGCCAACTTAAAACTAAATCACCTTATTCACTAATAGGCATTAACCTGAGTACAGCACTATATTCTGAATGAAGTGGGAGTCAAAAGGGTCTCTGCCTAACAGGAGCAGTAAGTCTTATTATGAAGAAAGGACCTTGTACATACTGAAGTAGTGGCTACTGGCAATTTGACAAGGCTTTTTGTTCTAACAAGCCAGTATAATGAAGGGAGACAATGAGGTGTTGGAGGATGTGTAACTGTCCTGGTTTGCCTAGGAATATTCCTGTTTTAGTACTAACGTCAGATGTCCTAGGAATCCAAGGTACTCCAGGACAATTTGTTACCTGAGGTGTTGGAAAGATCATATAGGACTCTTTAGAGGGAATGTCTTAAGTGAAGCTCTGATAAATGAGCTTGATTCTCAGAGGTGAAAAGGAAAGGAATGGGAAAGAGCTTCATAAGCAAGAGGATCTGTACTAGCAAAGCCTTGGAATAATGGTTAAGCCTGTGCGTTTCTAGGTCATTGTGGAAAATGGTCTGCTTAGAGTGAAGGACCTCAGTGGAATGACTGAGATAGGTAGGATGGGACATGATTTTGAAGAACCCTCAAGCTGAAGAATTTAGAGTTTAATAGGAAATGGAGGGGGGAGAATCCCTAGAAATAGGAAAAGCCAGTAGGTATTCATAATATTGGGACTAGAAAAGGTAGGGAAAAAAAGACAAGGAAAACAGAGATGGTATGAACTACTCAGATAGGGTGTGAATACAGGATAAACATTAGGGATGGAAACTAGGCAGGTTCCTGACTGTCACTTGAAAAGGTAAGTGCAACAGGCCCTTTGATGGTATAGGTCGAAGGCCTGGGGAGAAGAGATGAAAACAAGGGTCTTATCCTTTGGATGTCAGAATGGTTGAAAAGGCCTAACTGGAGACTGATCAACTGAGAATAAACAAAATGCCAAGAATTAAGATTTATGGAGGGACAGGATGATTGGGAGTAGCTGAAAGGGATTGTTTAGTTACTATACTTTAAATCCATACAAATCTACTGGGCAACGTAACCTGTAATTGGCATTTCCCTTCAATTGATGCAGAACAGAAAATACACTTTTTGAGGGGTACATATCTAGCCACACCCTTGTTTTCTGAAAAATTCTTGTCTATTTATAGCACCTGACTCTTCCTTTCCCTTTCTCCCCTATGGACATCTAATGAGAACAACTAAAAGGGAATAATCCTGGTTTCTGATTTTCCACTTCCTGCCTTTCATTCCCCTTGAGGCCTAGCTGTATTCTTGTTCTTGGGTTTTATGAGATAACCTTGTATCCTTCCATATCTCCTTTGCTTAAGCTAGCTTTAGCAGGTTTTTGTTAACTTGAAACCAAATGATCTCTCAATGAGACATCGTATGTTCTCACAAATATCTCATGACAGTGGTTTACTCATGTCCCCTTACCTTAATGCACTATTTAATGAGGGAGGAAGAAGGAAAGTTAGTGACTCAAGACAGCATCTAGGATATAAATTCTATTTTTATCCAGGTGTGACAGAGGTAGGAAGAACTTGAGACCTCCAGAGACACAACGTTCACAGACTCTATAAGAGATAAGCTAGTCAGGAGGTGGCATAACATAGAGATTTAGAATGTGAACTCTGGAGTCAGACTGCCTGAGCTAATATCTTAGCACCACTACTTGCTAGATGTTTAACCATGCACAAGTTGTTTAACTTCTATTTGCCTTAGTTTTTCATCTGTAAAGTAGCCATAACAGGGTTGTTATGAGGATTAAATGACATACTATTTATACATATAAAGCACTTGGAACAAATTAAGGTTTCAAGAAAGTCATTTGTCATTACTATTGCTGCTATGCTAACGAGTTAATTATACAAACGTACCTAACAACTGGCAAAGTTCAATTTTAGCATGCTTGGTAGTTTTTATTCTGGAAAATACTCATGACTAACACAGAAGAAAATCATAGATTGGTACTTAAATACATTCACAGAGCTACATATGAAAGGTCCACATGACAAGGTAGGCCTGGTTCCCATCTGAACAGCTTCATTTACTATGAGGTTCTCTTACAGGGTCTGGGTAAAATTCTCCTTTTCCTCTAGCACTGGCCTGCCCATGCGCTCTGGCTCTGGAATGCAAGCTCCCAAGGAGAAGGGTCAAAAGGAAAGTTTAAAAAATGGCTCATGTAAGGTCAGCCCATCAACATAGAGACCCTTTAAAGTCATTCAGTCAGTCATTGCACAGGCAGCCAAAAAAGTACCCAGGCATTAATTGAAGGTAGACTCTATGTGTAAAACATTAAAGACTTAAAAAAAAACCCTGACATAAATTTCAAAGTTAAACTAATTGGGCAAACATCTCAGAATTGTTGTGAATAATGTGTGTACTTAAAGTATTTTTGACTAACGTATTTTGAACAGATTTCTCATCAATACTTTTCATTTTGATTTAGGAAGAAAGCAAATTATTCTGTTGTACTGAAATACTATACAATATGCATGTGATGCGTTCCTGATGTTCAGAGTTCTGGGCTCCTTGCCTTGCTGGATCATATTATCGTTACACTAAGCCAATGGTTTACTATGGAGTAAATGGAAAAAACATCCCAAATGCAGCATCACATGGAATTTGGTTCAAAATACTGACTGGGTAATGAATACTATCAACAAAATACAATTTTATGTTAGTACAAAAAGAAATTAGCTAATTTTATAAACCTTGTAATTTGTAACTTACAACATGTTGATTCTACAGAATTATTGTAAAGCTACTGTAAATGAAGCAGCAGTGAGATACACACCATCATAGTATTAATCTTTGGGGATAAAGGTTCTGGCACAGCCTAAGAATTTGTGGTTGGTAGGGAACCAGATCAAGGGGAAAGCTATAATTTTTTTTTAGGTTGATCCAGAAGTCAGAAGTCTGCTTAAAAAAATACTAAGACTGCCCTATCCTTTAAATGCTGGGAAAGTCCACCCTTCACAACAAAACTGTCCAGGAAACACAGCGACCTGGACTGTTTATTTTTGGTACTTTAATAGAAGACTAGCAGCTTGCCATTTAGTGCTTTGCTAATTCAGGAACTGACGCCTCTGTTCCTTTTGCCACTCATGATCCTCTTTTCCACTGTAATTCAATTTTCATCAGGCCCAAAGTACCCTGAGGGTGAACAGAACTTTCAGTAGGCAAAGGAAAATACCAGCAATCTAAGTAGCAACCAACTGGAGAGTAGAAGAATGAGCACCATATTTAGGATATCCCCTAGAGAAATAAAACTTTTGGGACAATAGATAATTTTAATAATAAAAATAATAATGCCAGGTACAGTGGCTCATGCCTGTAATCCCAGCACTTTGGAAAGCTGAGGTGGGCGGATCACAAGGTCAAGAGATAGAGACCATCCTGGCAACACGGTGAAACCCTGTCTCTTCTAAAAATACAAAAATTAGCTGGGCGTGGTGGGCTGGGCACGGTGGCTTATGCCTATAAATCCCAACACTTTGGGAGGCCAAGGCAGGTGGATCACAAGGTCAAGAGTTCAAGACCAGCCTGGCAAGCATGGTGAAACCCCGTCTCTACTAAAAATACAAAAATTAGCTGGGTGTGGTGGTGGGCACCTGTAATCCCAGCTACCCGGGAGGCTGAGACAGAGAATTGCTTGAACCCAGGAGGTGGAAGTTGCAGTGAGCTGAGATTGCACCACTGCACTCCAGCCTGGGGGACAAAGTGAGACTCTGCCTCAAAACAAAACAAAACAAAACAAAACAAAACACTAATACAGATTCAATTATGACATTAAAACTGTGTTCTGGAACAAAAGAACAAAATATGTGATTTTCAGTTTTTTTTTTAGTTGTACTTTAGGTTCTGGGGTACATGTGCACATCATGCAGGACTGTCGCATAGGTACATACATAGCAAGGTGGTTTGCTGCCTTCATCCCCGCATCACCTATATCTGGCATTTCCTCCCCATGTTATCCCTCCCCAACCTCCCCACACTCTGCTGTCCTTCCCCTAGCCACCCACAACAGACCCCAGTGTGTGATGCTCCCCTCCCTGTGTCCATGTGTTCTCGTTGTTAAACACCCGCCTATGAGTGAGAACATTCAGTGTTTGATTTTCTGTTATTGTGTCAGTTTGCTGAGAATGATGGTTTCCAGGTTCATCCATGTCCCTACAAAGGACACAAACTCCTCATTTTTTTTTTTTTTTAATAGAGGTGGGGTTTCACCATGTTGGCCAGGCTGGTCTCGAACTCCTGACCTCAGGTGATCCGCCCGCCTCAGCCTCCCAAAGTGCTGGGATTACAGGCATAAGCCACCATGCCTGGCCAACTCATCATTTTTTATGGCTGCATAGTATTCCATGGTATATATGTGCCACATTTCCTTGTCCAGTCTATCATTGATGGGCATTTGGGTTGGTTCCAGGTCTTTGCTATTGTAAACGGTGCCGAAATGAACATACATGTGCGTGTGTCTTTATAATAGAATGATTTATAATACTTTGGGTATATACCCAGTAATGGGATTGCTCAGTCAAATGGAATTTCTATTTCTAGGTCCTTGAGAAATCGCAACACTGTCTTCCACAATGGTTGAACTAATTTACACTCCCACCAACAGTGTAAAAGTGTTCCTATTCCTCCACATCCTCTCCAGCATCTGTTGTCCCCAGATTTTTTAATGATCACCATTCTAACTGGCATGAGATGGTATCTTGATGTGGTTTTGATTTGCATTTCTCTAATGACCAGTGATGATGAGCATTTTTTCATATGTTTGTTGGCCGCATAAATGCCTTCTTTTGAAAAGTGTCTGTTTATATAATTTGCCCACTTTTTGATGGGGTCATTTGTTTTTTTCTTGTAAATCCGTTTTAGTTCTTTGTAGATTCTGGATACTAGCCCTTTGTCAGATGGTAGATTGCAAAAAATGTTCCACATT